CCCCTCTTAGACATATAATATAGGAAATCATAAACACGACATACAATGGAATATGTTTGAATAGCTGGCATTGCACATGCAGAAGGTGAATGGTATATTAGCAGCGCCATGAACAACAGGTAGCAGAGTTGGACAGCTCGGTATGCTCGGGCTCAGCACCTCTGGCTAGCAGGGAGATTGATGTTATAAATAAGTCATGCCCCTCCCCCCCCCAGACATCAGTTTGGGGAGTGTGGCCCCCAGCACGGTATATGCCCCATTAGGCAGGCACGGCATCGCAGCATATATTGTACAATGAACGCCCTCCACGGGAAGAGCTTCCGCAGCAGCGAAGAAGGCATGCACAGATGGCACTCACCGTGGCTCCGGGCCCCCAGGCCCCTGTGGGGGCAGCAGGTAAGCAGCAGTAGACAGAGGACGGTGCCTGCAGGGAGACCCATCCTGGTGCTGGAGGCCTCCGCTGTGTGTCAGATGAGGGGCCCCCCGGGCTCCTGCTCACAATGGGCACATGCTTGCGCTGTGTTTGCTTTTCCCGATCCCCGGGGAGAACCTTTCCTCGCCGCCGCTCCTCTCCCCGGCCGCGATCAGCACCACGGACAGCGACAGCGGCTGGACAGCTCCGGAGAGCAGAGCAGAGACTGCACACGCTGGCCACGCCCCTCCTCCTCATAGCCCCGCCCCCAGCCTATACCAGCGATGAATGAGCTCCTTATATGGGCACGCCTTTTAACCCTTTCCTGTCCCTTGGTGTCTGACCGTCCCTGCTCGCAGTATGTGATAGGAAGCGTTGTCACCCGGCTGGTTTATACTTTACTGATGGCAGGGTTTAAAGGGCATCCATATATCATTGTTTTTATTAACTTATATGTGTTTAAGGGGAAATGTAGGCTCTCTGCCCTAAAAAATGCTGTCATGCTGATCCCAATCATATCTAAACATACAGACAAGGAGTTCTGAACTCCTATAGACTTTACCTATTGCATTCTTTGCTCCAGGTCATGAAGGCAGCCAGGCAACAGAAGGAGGTCAACAATGGCTGCCCCTGTATATTTTTATTTTTCAATAGAGGTTTCCTTTAAATGTAATTTGTTATAAGTGGAATAGAAAGGCGGCCACTGCTGTGCTTTCCTTATGGGAATGCTAGCTGCTTGGCTGTCTTTCTTACCCTTTTACTCTAATACCTTGAATAACTGACTGAGAACAGGCAAGTTCTGAATTTTCCTGATCTGCATTTTTGTTCTGGGGCAGTGGCTTCCTTTTACAGGTGTAGGTGGAGGAGGGGTCCCCTTTCTTTTACAGGTGTAGTTGGAGGATGGTCCCCTTCCTTTTACAGGAATAGGTGGAGGAGGGTCCCCTTCCTTTTACAGGTGTAGGTGGAGGAGGGTCCCCTTCCTTTTACAGGTGGAGGAGGGGTCCCCTTCCTTTTACAGGTGTAGGTGGAGGAAGGTCACCTTCCTTTTACAGGTGTAGGTGGAGGAAGGTCCCCTTCCTTTTACAGGTGTAGGTGTAGGAGGGTCCCCTTCCTTTTACAGGTGTAGGTGGAGGAGGGTCCCCTTCCTTTTACAGGTGGAGGTGGAGGAGGGTCCCCTTCCTTTTACAGGTGTAGGTGGAGGAGGGTCCCCTTCCTTTTACAGGTGGAGGAGGGGTCCCCTTCCTTTTACAGGTGTAGGTGGGGGAAGGTCACCTTCCTTTTACAGGTGTAGGTGGAGGAAGGTCCCCTTCCTTTTACAGGTGTAGGTGGAGGAGGGTCCCCTTCCTTTTACAGGTGTAGGAGGGTCCCCTTCCTTTTACAGGTATAGGTGGAGGAGGGTCCCCTTCCTTTTACAGGTGGAGGTGGAGGAGGGTCCCCTTCCTTTTACAGGTGGAGGAGGGTCCCCTTCCTTTTACAGGTGTAGGTGGACATCTCAAAACTGGAACTGTACATGTTATGTTTTATTTTTCTCACGTGCTGTCAATGAACTGGTCAGATGACTTTGACACATGCCCAATAAAGAAATAATAAGTCCCCTGTTATGGGTTCCAGGTGCTATCTTGGGGAGGCTTGTGGTCTGTGGGCATTGATTGGGGATAAGACCTCTCCTGGTATTTCCGGTCTAATAGCCAGGCAGGACCAAGGTGAGTATATATATATACACTATATTACCAAAAATATTGGGACGCCGGCCTTTACAAGCACATGAACTTAGTCCTTAGTCCTTAGAACTGGGGTCTTAGTCCGTAGGGTTCAGTATTGAGTTGGCTCCGACCTTTGCAGCTATAACAGCTTCAACCCTTCTGGGAAGGCGTCCACAAGGTTTAGGAGTGTGTCTATGGGAATGTTGGACCATCCCCCCTCCAGTCTGGCGATGGAATGACCCTTGGCATCCTGTCTAATACACTGTATTGGAAGTGATGACTCATGGGACTTTAGACCACCAGAGCGAAAGGGGGAGAGAGACTGTAGGGACCAGTCTAGCAGCCAGGCAGGACCGAGGGGAGAATATCTTCTTTATTCAGTCCTCTAAAGCAAGTGCTTTTTTCACTGTTGTAGCCCTGCTCGGGACAAGTAGCAGGGCTGGTTTTCTTTTCTTAAAATGAGCGCCGAGAGCGGCGCTGCGAGCGGAGGGCGTGGAGCGCCGAGAGCGGGGGGCGGGGACGGAGCGGGGGGCGTGGAGTAGTGACAGGCTCTGTCACCTCCCTCAGCCTCTGTCCTCAGCGGCCGCTGCTCGTTCCTGTCACAGGAGTCCTAGCAAAAGTACCTGCTAGAACTCCTGTGTTGGAGGTGACAGGTTCAACAAAGAGTACCTGTCACCTCCAAATCCTATCACACAGGGGCTTGTTAAACCCTGTGTGATAGCAATACAGTTAAGTTTTTAAAAAAAAAGTACAAAATAATAATTAAAAATGTAACTAAATAAAAATTTAAAAAATAAAAAGGCGATAAAGTAAAAATAATAAAATCGTCATCGTGCACGAAACCGAGTGGATGGCTGGGTGGTCACGGAATCGCACACCACCGCCGATTGTGCTGTCAGTGGCATTATTTTCTAATGGCACCCCAGTTGTGCCAGGCAGATTGCGTGTTTTCCTGCTGCAATACCGCCCGGGCGATCCCACATGATCACAGTTGAAAACACGGCGCGATGCATGTCGTAAAAATAGGTACCGCTACCTTTTTTCAGCGATTGTCACGCAGATGTAACCCCATACATGCGGATGCAAGCACTGTATGCAACCGCACACGATCGCACGTCCTGGGAATCCCCAAGTCTGCACCAACCCTAAGACCCCGTTCACATGTAGCGATAATATTGACCATCACACTCCAAAATATCATCAAAACTCTACCCAGAAAGGTGGAGGATGTTAAAGCTACAAAAAGGGGAATCTCCGTATTAACGGCTATAGGTTTGGAATGGGTTTCCCAAAGGCCATGGTTAGGGTTTTGGAATGGGATGTCCACCAAGCTTACATAAGTATTAATGGCCATAGATTTGGAATGGGTTTCCAACAGGCCATGGTTAGGGTTTTGGAATGGGATGTCCACCAAGCTTATATAAGTATTGATGGCCATAGTTTTGAAATGGGTTTCCAACAGGCCGTGGTCAGGGTTTTAGAATGGAATGTCCACCAAGCTTATATGAGTATTAATGGCCATGGTTTTGGAATGGGTTTCCAAGAGGCCATGGTCAGGGTTGTGGAATGGGATGTCCACCAAGCTTATATAAGTATTGATGGCCATAGTTTTGCAATGGGTTCTTTAAAGCCATAAAGCACAGTAGTAGCACCCCTAGATTGTTCTGAAGAATATAGGAATTTCCTATATTTTCCAGCACCATCTAGGGCGCTAGTGCCTTCTAAATGACCCCCACAGCGATTGTCTTCGCAGATGACCACCAGTTCCAGTGGCCTATCTCTATGAGTAAGCCAGAATAGTGAAACGCGTTAAAGGTTGAGCATACATGGTGAGGAACTAACAGCACGTTTTTGTTCCATAAGTAAAGATTTTTATCTCCAGTGAAGATAAAAGTGCGGCTATTTCTGCATTTAGTCCCAGCATCCCGTTACACCCAGGGATCAGCAGGCTCAGTTCCTGCACAGGCAATACCCTTTATAAGTACAGTTGTCAATAGTCAATTAGCGGTGTAGCACATTGGCTTAGTGGTTAGCGCATTCTACCATGCAGCACTTGTGTCGTCAGTTTGAATCCCTGCTGGCTGCCTGGTGCTTGCAAGGGTTTACTTCAAAGACACGCTTGTAGGTTAATTGGTCCTCTATGTATGGAAGATAGGGACCTTAGATTATAAGCTCCTTGAGTGCAGAGATTGATGTGGGTGTTGCTGTGTAAAATTGTTGGCACTGTATATTAAATTCCTGTAATAAATGATATTAGCTCTCTTAGAAACCACGCATAATATAATATTCTGCTCTGTGATATGGTGGTAAGTTCGTACATATCCCAGTGTCACACTGCTACCCTAACACCCACTCCCTGTGATAGCTAGTAACCATAGTAATCGCATCATCTATATGTCCAGCAGCCTTCCAGACATGGCACTCATTAGTCTAGCAGATATCCATCTCTGGACCGTGTAGATGTATTGCTGTATTGATAAAGTCTATCGCTCCATGCTGTCCAGTCTACACCTGTCCTCAGATAAGGCCTCATGATTGATTGGTGGTTGCTCTGTGTACAAATATCAATGCTCCGTTGCATTTAGAAGGACCAATGATGCTGCGGAAAGGCCAATAACCCGATCAACTATAGGGTCACTGGAGTCAGGACAGTGAAAGATTATCATTGACTGGTTGCCGAAATTGGCTCTTTGCCTTTTTTTTTAAAGTTCATGACACAAAAATATAACTGAAGCGTTAATATGATAATGTAACTTCAAAATTCATCCGCAGCTTTCATTAAAATAATATCCTTGCCATTATGATCAGCCACTTATAGGGTGACCATGCTCTGGCTCCCTATTATGCTCTTGTCTTGTCACGTCCAATGATGACTACAAACGGCCATTTCAACAAGCATTTTGCAGGCATGGTCCTCAATTGTCACCATTTGGAACCATGCCCTGGGAAATGCCGTGCAGCCATCGCTGTAGTGCATGGAGACAGGAAGCAGCTTCAATGAAGCTGCAGGAGATCAGCAGAACTGAGATGCAGCAAAGTGTGAAAAAAGGTTCAAAAACTGTTTATTGTATACAGTGTTTTAGCAAACCTAATGTCAAACAGTAAAGTTGGTCATACATGGCTTCAATTTCATGCAAGAATCAGCCCTGTCATCACCCAGCTTGACAAAAGCTGATTTAAAAATTGACTAAGCCGGGTGGAAAATGATCAGCCCTCCTATCGGATGCAGTCACTGGGTATTCAGGCAGCCGTGGGTGGAAGAATCCATTGATGTTCTCTCATTTATCCTGCGGGCTGAACGAGAGAGAATGGAACATGTATGACTAGCCTTAGGGATTATATCTACTTTAAAGCCTATCTCCGGGGAAATAAAAAACTCCCCTTGCAGTGGTGCTGCCTCTGCACAGCAAGGGTTAAATGCTGCTTAGGTGTGGGGTATTGGGAAAAGCACCTGTGGACTGTCCCTCGATGTTCTCACGTATCGGGCAAGGCTATTGGTTCTGCATTGTACACGATGACATCAGTAGGCTTCTGACCACTGGAGCAAAGGCTG